TGTGGCTAGCTTTGCATTCTGATCTTCAGGCAAGCTTTATTAGATCATTAAAAAAAAATATCACCACATTGTGCTTCTCTGTGTAGTCTTGGTTGTCCTGGAACTCACTCTGTAGACCTGGCTGGCCTCGAACTCTTGAACCTTTTCCAAGTTCCATGACCTCACTAGCCCTGGGAAATTGTCTAGGTATCTAGACCAAACATGATTTCCCTCATGTTGAACGGGTCTTAAGCCCAGTTAGACAGCTGTTGGTCACTACCAACATGTGAGCACCACTACTGCCCCTGTATGCATATCTTGCTACGCTGTTCATTGATTTGGTTCATAGGTGTAGCAGCTGGGTAGGACTATTAATTGCTTTCCTCCCTTGGAAGCTTGCATAGTATCTTTTGGTACCATGGCAATCTTCAGACTAAGAGGTTTGTCTTTTTATTGCAGGGGAGGGGAGCATTCCCACTATAGTTTACATAAAAATAAAGTCACTTCCTTTCAGAATGTTCTCTGAGTATATCATCTATCAGCTCACAGAGATCTGCCTGCCTCTGACTCCTGAGTCTTGGGATTAAACTGTGTGCTACCATACCCAACACTGAGATAAATTCTTGCAGTCCAGGCTGACCTCAAACTCAAAGCCTAATGTGGCACTGCTGGAAGGCAATGAGACCTTTAAAGGGTGGGGTCCAATGTTGGTATCTTCAGACTATTTGAAATACTGGGGACCTAACCTCTTCTATATATGCATGTAGTGTGTGTGCAGGTGTGCATGTATGTGCAGGCGCGTGTGGAGACCAGAGGTGGTGAACATCATGTATCCTTTACTACGGCTCTCCAGAGTCTCTCACTGAACCCAGAGCTCACCAATTGGCTAGGCTGGCTGGACAGCCAACTCTGGAAGCCCTCCTGTTTCTGCTCCCACCCCCAGAAGTAGGCCTGCAGGCATGCACCATTACACACACACACACACACACACACACACACACACACACCCTTCTACGTGAGTGCTGGGGATCTGAACTCATGTCCCCATGCTTGTGGGGACATGCACATTACGGACTGAAGCCTCTCTCGGCTCTGGGACCCTTCCTAACCCCATCTCTTTCTTGCACTTGTGCTGCCTTGTTAAACCCCAAAATCAGCCGGGCGGTGGTGGCTCCCTCCTTTAATCCCAGCACTCAGGAGGCAGAGGCAGGCAGATCTCTGTGAGTTCGAGACCAGCCTGGTCTACAAGAGCTAGTTCCAGGATAGGCTCCAAAGCTACACAGAGAAACCCTGTCTCGAAAAAACCAAAAATAAATAAATAAATAAACCACAGGATCAAAGCAGCAAGAACAACCAAGCATAACTTGAAGCTTCTAAAACTGTGAGTGCAAACAAACCATTTCCATGTTTAGACTGATCTGATAGTGCTTGTTACTGTCACAGGATGCTGACCAATGTATTTTAGAACTGGAAAGTGTATAATGACCTGAGAAGAGAAGAGGGGATAGGAAATAAAGCAAGAGTGGGCTAGCTACTCAGAAAGTTTGATAATAAATGAGCTTTTAGGGTTGGGGTGTGGACATGAGAAGGAGACCACTCAAGAGATGATTTCAATGTGGCCACACTGATCAACAAAGAAAAGAAGAAACAGAAGACAGCAGGATGTACTCTCTTCTGAGCTTTCTCTTTGCTGTTTTTGCTCACAAGGCACCTGTATCTTGCATTCCCTCTTGACACCCTACTAAGTGCAGGGTGTTTGAAGGGTGTGATCCACTTTCATTCACCCCCTGAGTAACTACACTCTTCTATGGAGCGCCCATCTTCAGCAGCCCCTAGAGCCTCCTTAAAGGGCAAGGTGGAAGCCTGTTCTCCCCTACTTACTGAGAACCATGTGTGAGAACACCGTGCTTACAAAATGTGTCTCTCCACACACGTGTGAATTGGGTCTGGTCTTTTACCCATTTGGCATTCTGGAATGATCTGGGCTCCATGCCACCCAAGATGATCTCTTGTTCCCGATAACCATCAATAATTACAATGATGCCCTGGTAGGGTCCCAGGAAGCTGTAGTTCTTGGTGTTTCTGGCAGTGCAGGGTGCCAGAATGTGAGGTACAGGCAGAAGCCAAAGGAACTTTGTGTCTGAAGCAGCCCCTTTTCCTAGATGATTCTAGCGTAGGCTGGATACCGTAAGGTTTCTGTAAGTAAACAGGCTCACCAGCTCATCCAAGCAGAAGGAACAATAAGTCACAGAGGACAGTGTCAGGCCACATCTGGTGTGGGGTCAGCCTCCTATAGCCATTGCCTAATCCATGCCTCTTGTAGTCTCCCCAAGACTGTTTAGCTTACCCTGTTGTTTTCCTTAACTTTGCCTGCAATGCCCTCTGTCCCAAGCTGCTGCTGCCTCTGTAGTCCCCCCTCCCCCACCTCTCTCTCCCTTTCTAAAAACAAAAACATAAAAACTATTTTAATTATGTGTTTCTTTGTGTGGGTGTGTGCATGTGAATACAGGTACCCAAGGATGCCAGAAGAAGGTATTGTATCCCCTGGAGCTGGAATTACAGACACCTGTGAGCCAGCCAACATGGGTGCTGGAAACCAAACTTGGGTCCTCTGAAAACACAGGACATGCACTTAATCACTGAGTCATCTCTGAACCCATCTTCCTTCCCTCTTTTCCTTTTCCCAGGCAGGATCTCAAGAGCTGGCCTTGAACTTACTCTATAGCAAGGATAAACTTAAACTTTGGATCATTCTGCTTCTACCTCTTAAAGGCTAGAGTTATAACTGTGCACCACCATGCTAAGGATCTGAGTCAGGCACTAGAGCAGTTGGATGAATATTCTTCCGACGGAGCTACAGCCCCAAGCCCTAAAATTCTCTTTGCATGCCACAGATCTGATCAGAGCACACCTTTGGTGAATTTCTCCACAGCCTCCACTGTGAGTCCTTGCCTATCTGTAGGCATTGGGAATGTTCCCAACTTGAACTCTACCCACTGTCAGGCCTGTCCAAGAGATTTGTTTATTCCTGTCTTCATTTGGAGTGTACTGTGGCTCATTCTTGGGGCCTTCTCAGTTGTTCTTTCTCCAGTCTTCAAAGTTCTGCTGGGAGACATTTATTATAAGGGCTCCTTTTCAACTATCATCCATCCCACTGAGCTTTACAAATCTTAAAATTTTTCATTAAAATTATCTGTGTATTGTGGTAATCCATCATTTGAGGGAAGAAAAAACAGCTTTCTTGACTCTATTACATTAAATTTTTAGCATGCATAAAAGCCAGCCTTGCTCCTTATTTGTATTCATGCCTCCCTCCTCTTACGAGACTTTGCTTTGCAGCCCAGGTCAGCTTTGTACTCATGCAAGTATCTTGCCTCGGGCTTCTGACTGTTGGCATTATGGACTCGGCCACCACACCTACTTCAATCTCTCTTATCTTTTGGACAAGCCTTTTTTGTTTGAATATCTGACCCCCCAACACCCGCTCCAAGCCAAAGAAGCCTCACACTCCTTGAGTATGGAGTTGGTGGAGGGAAGACAGGATGCTTCTGATGGATGTCAGCACCGGATGAGATGAGGATGCCATGGAAGGGACTGTGGGAATGGCATTCCCTCCCTGAACCAGTATTTCCCTTTGCACCAACGTCATAAGGAGCTAGGGAGCCCGAAGTCTGGAAAAGGCCGCAGAAGAGGCCAGGCAGGGCCTCTGGCTAACCGTGTGTGTCTTGACCCTTTTACCTCTCTTAACCTCAGGCTCTTCATTTTGAAGTTAGCTATATCAGTATCATAGAATTGTGGTGAAACTTTAGTGAACAGGGCCCCTCTCCCTAATCCTTTGGTATCAGTGTCTTTCTTTCCTGTAGTTGGGCTTTTATTGCTTCCATGTTTCCCAACCAAGCTGTGTGCTCCTCCTCAGTCCAAGACAAGAATGATGTCCAGTCCATCTTGGCATCCTCCCCTGTGGCCACCCCCGCGGCACTTAGCACGAGGAAGAAAGCAGAGATTCTACGGTTCTTTTCCAAGATGTTCTAATGAAAGGAAGGATTCAGAGTCCTGGTTAAAGAGAGACCCGCTCCTGGTTCCTCTCTCTAGGGAGGCTGCAGGAGAGTAACAAACAATGCGAATCGCGCAGACAATGTAAGATAGCGGAGTCTCAGTCCCAGCTTGCCAGAGAGGGACTTCACCTAACAGTCCAGCCGGAGGCCGTGCGCTGCTCACCATAGCCGCTGCGCCTCCTTTGTGCTGTATCAGGTGCAAATCCCTGGAGCGCGGGCTGTGCGCGCTCGCGCTTTGAAGCGCGCACAGAAAAGCCCAGCCTCCGCCCCTGCTCGCCCTCCCAGATCCTCTAAGATCTACTCGGCTTCCCCCGCTCCAGCCAGCGAAGGGAGGAGGTCGGACACGTAGCCGGCCTCCCAGCAGGGCT